GTAACTGAACCCCAGTGAGTTAAGTTTCGATGCGAAGGCAGAGCTGCCAGCCCCCCCAGGGTGGGCGCGGGGCCGTCCCGGCTGCCCGGCTCCCGTCCCGAAACCGGGCGAGAAACCCCCGGACACAGCCCGGTTCGGCGCTGCCCGCAGCGTGTGCTGGAGGGCACGGAAAGGTGTGAGCCCGACTGCTCCGTGCACGGGGGGACGAGCTGCTGCCAGCTCAGGCTGCTCCCCCCTGAGCTGCGGCTCACCCAGCTGCTGGGCAGCAAAGAAGCTGCTTGTGGATCCCGTGTCTCTAAAGCACACAGCTTACTGCTCTGTGAATGTGGAAACCGTCGCAACAGAAAATACTTCCTCGGGTTTTTTTTCCTGCTCCCTTTTCTGCCCTGTCTGCCGGTGCCCCAGGGACTTGCTCCGTGCCCTCCGTACTTCTCCACTGACAGGGGCACCATGGATGAAACGGAGCAGCCTGTGACCCTCCCAATAGTTTAAACAGAGCCTCAAGGTCTAAATCAGAAGAAGCCATCTGCTCTCAACTGCATTTCAGTGGCCAAAGGACACCCCGTGTGCAGGACTGGCAATCCTTTTAATGTTAGAAACGTGTTAGCAGGCAATTGTGGCATTTCTGTTAGTTTTAGTCCTCAGAGACTCCAAAAATTGTTCAGGAATTGTATAAAGAACTCAGAAGAGGCAGTGGTGGTTTGTCTGTTGAAATTATTGCTTTGAAAGAGTGCCTAGCCAGTTATTTTGGAAGACTAAATTGGATCTGAATGATCATTGTAAAGCTACATTGCACAGATGATGCTGACTTCTGTCTGCATCCATAATCTGCTCCAGTCACTTAGTACTCCTTGAGGATGAACTACAGAGGGATGACATGTCTCAGGCTCTGATTCACTGCTCAGCAATGATGCAGAAAGGACAACAGGAGGGGCTCAGAGCTACCAGGCTTGAAAGAGAAGAGCAAAAGTGCATAGGTCATGTTGTCTGAGGGTGGAGGAGTTTCTAGGAGGCAGACAGATACACAGCATTTTTGAGATAGGCAGAACTTGGTAACTGCAGGCAGAGGAGATGTGAACAATGGGGGTGCCTGTGGGGTGGAGGTGGTGTTGAAAGAAAAGGCTCAACAGTCACAAAGATTGCAGGTTTTGAAACCTGGAGGACTTGTGTGATGGGCTGGAGGGGACATCAGACCTGTGGACCTAATCTCAAAACAAAGGCAGCAGGAGCCTCGAGATAAAAGGATGTTACATTTCTGTGTAAAGTTAGGAGTGACAATGACTAATCGATCCTTTACTTCATTGATGTTTCCTCTTTGTTTTGTGAATAAGACCAGTGTACTTCCCAAAAGGTGTGCTAGCCTGGCAAATGATTGCCTAGCACCCCTTTTCTGCACAGAACAGCAATAAAACCAGTATCTTGCCTGCAAAAAAAACAGAGAGCAATGTACAAATTAGTTTTACTCATATAAAATAGTGCAAAGGTCTGCAAGATTTTACTCTAATTGTGCACCAGGACATTAGCTAAACCATGGTGTATATTTGTGCAAGTGTTTTTACCTAAGGTTGTGGGGTTTTTTTCGTGTCTTCTGTTGAAGTCACCTACCCAGCACAGAGATTATCTGAAATTGTAAAATTTGCCAAGATGCAAGTACTGCATGAGTAGAGGTGCTACTCAATGCTAATAATTAGCAGAGATGTCAGTGAAGCTCATTGCCACCACCTGGTGACCCATCCTGCCTCCAAAGGGCAAAAGGATTTGCTTTAAAGCAAACAAAAAAAGGTTTTAAAGCCTACACAGACTAACAGTGGGACAGAGTTTTGCCAGGGATCCATGCTCTATTCCACTGGCTCTAAGCAAAGGTGACAGTCAGCCGTGCTGTTAATCTGTCTCTCAAGCTTACAGAAACTTAACATTTACAAGCATTTCTTTATGTGTTCAGTTGAACCCTGTAAGTAACTGCAGTGTCATGGCACTTGTGTCATGCTCTGCAGCTGAACACAAAGAGACATACCCTTCACTAATTATATTTCTTTTTAACATGTTGTTTTTAATTATCCTTCAGTAAGCTACCTCAGTATGACAGTTACATGGCTCTAGCCAAAGCCAGACATTTCAATAGAGTTATTGGCAGTACAAGGTTGGGTTTTATTTTTGATTAAACCATTCCAGTTCTGCAGCTGGCAGCAGGATACAAAAATTGCTATTAAGCTTCTATTCAACAAAACCCGACAAACACAGGTCTATATTAAAGACTTCCTATAATAAACCAATTATTCCTCTATTACATTAAAACATAACCTCAGAAAAAAAGTGTTTCTTTTTCTTTCAGCTTAGTTTATTTTTAAAACAATGTATTAAAAATATCAGCCAGTGCATCTGCTGCCTTCAGAACTGGAAGGCAGCATTTCACAAAACAAGTCCAAACTATTATTTACATTTGTTCACATCTTAGATTAGTTTTCAAGGCTGGATCCGTTCACTGGAGGCTCAACAATCAGTCTTGGTTCTATCAGTGCATCCCAACTTTCAGTTATCTGAAACAAAAGACAGACAATACTTAACACACCCAAGCTGTACAGGGAGATGCAATTTCTCCTGCATTATGTTTTGTCTAGACTCGAAGAGCAGCACTACTGAAAAAAGATCACAGATCCTTCCTGGGATTGTCTTCTTCACAACCCTCAACCTGCCTGACATCCTGGGCAAGGAAAGGTGCAGGTAAGAACAGTACATGGAATGAATAACCTCATTAAGAACTGATGTTCTAGACATTATATTTTTGTTTTGTCTAATAAAATAAACAAGTTACAGTTTGATGACTGGTTTTGAGTCTAGCTAATTGAGTAACATGCAAGAAGTGATTATTATCTTGTAAACATGCTCATTTTTTGTTAGAAAGGAACAATTATTTTTTCTTCCATTTACTTTAGTCAGATGGATTATTTTCAAGAGACTGACTGAGATGAACAGACTTACAAAGCAGGGCACGTTTCAGGCTTCAAAAGAGGACACCCACATACCTTTGTGTCCTGAGGAACAGCATACTCTATCAGTTCTGCTCCATCTGCAGACTGGTAAACCAGATCGAATTTCCCTGGCTCTTTAGCAACTTAAAGACAAACAAATGAACAACTCCATTAACTATAAACAAATAGGTTTAAATGTTTACTAAGTTTAGAAAGCCAGTCAAAAGCGGGGAGTTTTTCCAAGTTGGGTGTTTGGATTCATACTAGTAACAAAAAATCTGATGTACCACTAAATACTACCCACCCAAATTAAGGTAATTACATGCATGAAGAAGTTAATCAACAATATGCTGCCTAAATTCCAGAAGGATGCTCTTATGATGGCAATTCATTAATTCTGGTTGAAGTAGCAAACAGTATAGACATTCAGTTTCACAGACATTCACAGTTTCAGGTGTCTGAAGTGCACTTTGTCACTGCAGGGACTCAGTTCCACACCCACTGACATCTCAAAGAATGGTATTAGGATCTAAAACCTTCTCTGTGATTCCATGTAATCATTTTAATTTTTTGCAGGAAATAAATCCACAACACAGATGAGTTACTGACCACTTGTACTGACTGGCCAGACTTCACTTGGTGGATACCTGTGAGCATCTTCAATACAACTAGTAAGTGTTACAACTTCTCCACCTCAATAACTTTTTGGGGAGGGAGCGGAGGAGTGTGTTGAGAAGGAACCCAAGGAAACTGGAAATACTTCTGAAACAGAAGGTGTGCCTCAGACCTGCTGTTTTCCCAGTGATGCATGTGACAGCAAGGGTTTGGTGCCCCAGAGTACATACCTTGTCCTGCTGAGGAAAGGATCTCAAGTTCAATCTGCTTTTGATCAGCATTCCAGCTGATTATTTTTGCCTCCTTCAGCAAGCAACAAGAGAAGAATCAGGTAAGACTTACTTCAGCACTGGAGAACTATTCCATACTTACAACCACTGTGGTACTTGATCATAGTTAGAGGAAGTGTATCTGTCTATAAAATGTTTCTATCTCTATGTATAAAATCTGCCAAGTAGTAAAGCTCAGCAACCTGCAGCTACTGACATCAACAAACCAAAGTTATTCATTGTCACCATTCTTGTAATTAAAAACCAGCACTTACCTAGAAACCAAGTTACTTGAAGTAGCAACAAAATTTTACTTGCACCAGTTTCAAAATCTGCATTTTTGTAATCTCTAAAATGTTAATGATGTTTTTTTAAAAGAAAAAATCAATGTGACACCTTTTAAATTCTCAAGTTAGTTTTGGGTTCTAGAGTTTTAATTTTTACTGCTGCACCAAGAACAGCCTGGAGAGTCAGCTAGATGAAAAGAGAAATACTGCACATCTTCAAAAGTATTTAAGCCTTACCTCACCTATAATAGTTTTGTGAGTGAATTAAGGGAAGAAAGAAGCACAGTACCTTATAGTCTGAAATTCCAGGAGTGTAATTTTCGCTTAGTTCCAAGCGCTGTTGAGAGAAACAGAAATAACAAATTAAAACTTTTCCTGATCTTTGGTGGTGCCACTTATACCCAAAAAAAAACAGCAGGAGGGAAGTGGAAGAACAAAGTCTCCCACTCCTGGATCCTGATGCCAGTTGCAGTCCCAGGTCATCTTCCAGGACTCATGCTCCAAAGGATTTCCATTTGGGTCAGGCTGTGAGAGATCAGGGAGATGGATCCCAGACTCCTCAGTCAACTACAGTGATTTAATTTTAATTTACTTTTTTATTCTCCAGTGAAGTGCAATTATTTCTATTATAAGATTTGCAATAATATTGTAGCAATGCTATAGAGAGAAATAACAACACAGAGGTGTTTTTTTTCTTTTTTATAGCATCTAACTTTAATGCTGACTTTCCTTGCTGGAAAGAGAGGGGTCACATGCTTCTTCCTGGCATTCCTATTTAAGCATAAACCTTGACAATATTGTCCATGGTAGAGAGACTTTGTGAAGATACAACTAGAAAATTATATCATTTGTGAACTGACTTGTGTGATAGCTACAAAAGTACATGGAAATTCACACTGACATGACTGGAGGCAGCATTTGTCTTATACAAATACAGGGAGTCTAAAGAAATGCATTTAACTGATGCACCTGCTCCAGACCTTTGTAAAAATCTTAAGTCAGAGTTTACAACACAAGATTTTTTGAGAGCCTTAATGGTTTCTGTTGTATGGAAAACTATTAGGTTAGAAAGACAGCAAGAGAGGAGTCAACTTTTTAGGGATGCCTAGAAACATTAGACATTTTATGTGCTGAACCACTTTCTTAGTTTAAAGAAAATTAAAAAAAAAAACCAGTAAGTAGGTTGAAGATTACTTCATAACTCTTACACTTCTAGGATAACAGTCCCAGAACAATGTAGGATTAAGCTCTTCAGTGTGAGCTTTTGGTTGGCAGGACTGTGCTATCTGTATTGTGTCCTGAAAAACTTACAGTGGCCCAAGCGAAACAATTTCAGCCCCCTACCATTCAGTATTTCACAAGTTCTTTACCTTAAAGGCAATTCTTTCTCCCACTTGTGGCGGAGCAGCCAGAAGAGGTAACACACTGTAATCTCTCTTGGGGATCTCCACAGGATTCTGTAAAACAAACAGCACACCCACTGATTCAACTACTGTATTAATAAAAACAGACCATGTTTATGCTGCATGGATTGTAAGGAGTTCTGAGAAGAGTAGGGTACATATCCAAGTGCTTTGTTTTAAGTTATATAATGCAATCACTTAAATATGGTTGCATAAACACTTCCTCAGGGTGCTAAATGAAGATACAGTAAACATCTGATTTAATAAGTTAAGATCAACCTTACTAATGTTTTCCTGCTTTTATGAATTACTGTCATCTTGTTTGTACAGTTAAAGCTGCAGGAGAAAGGTGACTATGACTGTAAGTCACTCACCTGGACAAGAACAGAAGTGTTTGTCACAGCTTCATTTAACTGCCTCTGTTTCTGGCCTTCACTGCTGTAGTTATAGAAGAAGCCAGGGTTTGCTCCTCTCCCATGGCCTTGGCCCCTCATCATCCCACGAAACCCACGGCCCCTAGGTCCTCTCCAGAAGTTATCCTCTCCTGTTCCACGCCCCCTTCCACGACCCGGGCTGGCAAGTGGTCCTTGAATACTGTTTGGCAACTGATCAGTACAGTTTCTTACTATGGAATTACTCACTCCAGCATTTCCTGCAGGTTTTTTAATAATAAGTGTTTCTGAATCTGAGCTATCAGACTCTGAAGAGGAGGTCTCTGCTCTGAGAGCCTTGGTGGTGCTGGTTTTTACAGCTGCCACATTGTTGGGCAGTGACTTTTCCTTGGCAGTACTGGCTGCTGCTGTTGCCACTTTCTCATCCTCTGAGCTTGAGTCAGAATCTGAACTAGAGGATTGGGATCTTTCAGCATTTTTACTAATCGCAGTCTTAGTGGAATTGTCAGCATTAGGCTTTACAGTCACTTTCTTAGAAACAACAGTTTTCACGTCAGAATTTGCAGCAGCTTTAGGTTTATCTTTGGGAAGTGCTGTCACTTCAGATTTATGGGGAGATTTATTTTTCTTTACATTTAATTCACTGCTGTCCCTGTCAGACGACGTGCTGGAGGAATCTGAAGAGTCCCTCTTTTTTCTGGACTCTGTTGTCTTTTTTTTTGTTTTATTTTTACCAGAATTTAGGGAATTTGTCCGTTCTAAAGCCATCTTTGCTGCAGAGGCCTTTGTCTGCTTTTCATCCTTCTTTTTTGTTGCCAACTGTTTCTCCCTCTCAGTTTTTTTAAGCTTTTTAGATTGGTCAGTAGAGCTCTCCTCCTTACCTTCTGAGAGTTTATTTCTTCCACTAACTTCTTCCTTTCTTTTTCTTTTCTTGTACCTTTTTTGAGAGTCCCAAATATCTACAGAGGTCTCTTCCCT